ATATGTAATAAATATTTCATTTCACTAATTCAAACCAAGGATAAAAGCAAACTTTTTTCTTTTTCTTCGAACAAACAAAAAAGAAAGTCTTGTTTCATTATATAAGAGAATACGGTTTCTATTTATGTGAAAAATACGCTTCTGAGAAAGAAAGTAATGTAAAATAGAACAAACCTTTGTCAATCTTATCAAATTTTTTCTGGAGATACTCGTCTTTGGTAGTCTGTGGCATGGCCATCGAGTTTTGTTTTTCTCTGAATATAACTGGCACGTAAACTTGAATAAAGATTAAAACGCCGTCTATTTCGTTGAATCCACAAACGCAAAATGAGAAAAGGAAGAGAACCAAAAAAACTACGATTTTATGATAATCATCGTTGTATACAGTGGAACTTGCCAATTTTTATCGATTTTGCCTGAATGACTACACAGAAACGTAAGAGAAAAAACAACAATCAAGCGAGCATACGATGGCAACCAGAGCATCTGCATCATTTTACATTGGTCGAAGCCATTAAGTAATTTTATGCAACAATGTTATGCACGATCACAGAATTTAACGCTCTGTGATTTGACTACTCTATCTCGAACATATTTCCAGACAGTCCACTTTTAGCTTGAGTCAAGAAAATTTTGGTTTGAGATGGACTATTTTTGAAGAATTTTCACACAAATAAACCAGCATCTGATACTTCAGTTCTATTGCGAGAGATATCTGGTCTGTTTGAAAGCTGCTTCTGAACACAGGCGTCTTGATGTCAACAGTGAACTATTCAGCATTTTAAAATACTGAATAACAAAGAATGACTATTTCTATCATGAGCAATGGGAAGTTTGCATTATTTTGTAGTTGTAATGTATGATTCATCTTCATACAGAGCAAGAAAAAATACTTGTGTGACCTTGAAGAAAGGCGAGTAAAGACACATGCTGCGAAACCCACACAGAAAGCACCCGTCAAATTGATTCACACTTGTTTCGTCGTGTCACAAGAACAGGCAACACTCACTATTTACGTTCTATATAAAAGCTAGGCAATATCGCTGTTTTTCTTCGTTCTGTGGGACAAACAAATGGTAACAACCTTGAACGGCTTGCTTGGTGAACATTTGCTCCAATATGACGAGCCAAACCAACTGTCAATCAAACAACTGGAGGGTGTGGGTGTGTGCTTCATGCTGAATATTAATACTTAGTCCTTGCTTGTTATGGTTGTTTTAATTCTGAATTAGATTGGCAGCAACCATACATATTTCTATCAAAAGCCACGAGTTGATCTGCGTCAAATGTAGATTAACTTAATTTACTCTCCGTCTCTTTCGGTGTCCTCAGCACTGTACTCATATTCATGTTATTATTCATTTTGTGTGAGTATGTTCAAAGACCTAGCTGAAAATTTTATCATCTTACTCAATCAAGCTTTTACCATTTTTGTAAAACTTCTACACTCGAGTTCAAACGAAACAAAAGATGTTAACCTTGGTAATGTAGTGCGATCAACCGCAACTTTTTTAAAATTTCACTCATTGAACAATCATGACTATTTCTTCATCCACATTTATTATCGTCTATAAACGACGATTTGACAGTGATATTTATTCATTAAACCGATTACACAAAAATCTCTCAACGTATATACAAGAAAACAGCTTGCTTCATTACTAAAACCCCATTTTAAATATTGGTCGAACTTTTTTCTTTCTTTTGTGTCATTCTGCAAAATGTCGCAATTCTCACCTGGATTGTGTCAAACAAAGACATTTAGACATCGATAAAAAAGCAACTGATCAAATATCAACTTACTTTTCAACTGATTTACATTTAATATACTGATTCAACGTTCACTAAATTAATTCTAATTCTATCATAGAAAAGCCAATTAACATAATAAATAACTTCAAGCAATCATTTCCAGGATATAGCTCGAAAGAACGAATTTAAACATGTTCGTCAATCAAGTTTTTTTTCTCTCTCTCGGTGTAACCATGATAGATTTTTGGCCATGCCGTTCTGACAGCATGACAGTTCATGATAAATGTAGCTAAGGTTTTCATTTAAGACTCAATTGGCTCTGTCATGTTTCACATTTCAATCCCGTAGAGATCGTATTAAAAGCTTTTTCTTATAGCAACCCTGATCGATGCTCATTTGGCAATTTAAGATACATACATGATTCCATATGCATCGTGTATTGTCATGTGGATATTCTTTTATAGTCATTTACGTCAATCGTAATTGTCTGTATGAGACAGCCGTTTTTATACTTCATTTCTGTTTTTTGTAGATTAAGTTATCAGTGAAATGGCGTAAGAAAATAAAACATCGGTTGACACACGTCTTCAATAAATGACGCACATCGTGTGTGGTGCTTACAAGTTACTACGTTCGAGAATGATATACGTCATATAATCAAACAATACAACAATGCATTCACGAGAGAAGTGCCTAAAGTGTCTAAGTTCCTTTTCACGCATTCATTCCTTATTCGTCAGAGCATATCGAGATAAAAAAAAGTCTTAAAATAGTTCGAGCCCATAGTCTATGGATGAAGAGTTCCGTCCATTGTACTGAATTTTTGACCTATTGTCAGAGTTTTCAAAAAATGTCAAGATTCACGAAAAGCTCAAAGTAAGAAAACTTGCACGTGAGTGGATATTGCATTGATTGAGTAGACCTTTTTCTTGCTTCTACAACATTATTCATCTGTCGGTTCATCATGCTGTGTTGCTCACATGCGCTAGACATTGATATGTCTAAGTCTTGTGTGATTCGAAGTCGAAACAGATCATCAAAGAATGCTGCACCAACCCGTAGAGCAGCAACATATGATTGAAGAAAACTAGTTAAAGCAATATTTCCGCAGAAATATTTTCTTTGCGCATAAGCCTCATTGACTGAATTATTTACTATTGTTTTATTATTTTGCACGGAAATAAAAAGCAGGCGCACAATGTGTCAGAGCGTATTTTACTAATCCCAAGAAACATATGTTCTTAATTTCAAAGATTCAGAAACGATCACTTTTTTGTGGAATGTTTCTTTTTCATGGTTCAATAGTATCAATACATTTGAAAGGATTTGTTTTGAGTCAAATGTTTGCGTTATCTTAGAACTCTTCAAGAGTTAAACCTTCGGTGATGCAATGCGATGATTCATCTTCATATGCGTCATTTTTCGAGCAAAAAGAAAATCTTTCTTTCTTTCCAGCTGACGCAACTAAAATATGAGTCAACTTCCTCATATAAATAAATAGCAAAAGACTGATAAGAACATGAATCTTGGAGAACTCAATTTACAAATACGAGGATAAACATTATTTTTATTTATTTTTTCAGGTAGGATTTTTCTCCTACGATGCTCATAGGATTGGTAAAAAGGTAGTTTTTTTTATCAAACAATCATTCAACTTGTCTTCAATTGTTCGATCTACAGATGTGTTTTTTCTGATTGTCGGGAACAAAATTAGAACTTTTTTTACAAACAGAAGTCAAGCGAAAGCAAAAATTTATAAAGAGAGCAGACATCGGTTTTGATTGAGAGAGAGATGTTTATAGAGGATACGGAATCACTTGCAAGGGAACACTAGAATCCTCATAGCTACGTCACTACGGTGTCAGGTATATATAGATAGATTAATAACTAAGGGCAGCTAAGTTTACGACACGTATTTCATCTGTTTATTATAGATGTATCAACTACTTTTTATAGGATTGGTAATTAGATGTTAAAGGGAAACATCCACGATAGATGTATAAAGGATAAAACACTTTTTGAGAGACGACGAGTAGCAAAGGAAAATACCTATATAAGGAAGAATACATATGACCAGATGATAGAAAGGAAAAATATATATGATGGGAAAATACGAGGGAAAATATATAAAGTGATGGAACAGAGAGGAAAAGAAAACAAAAATATAAGTGACAACAGATGCAATGAATATATGATTCTAAAACTTCTTAACAACCAGCTACTCTCAAAAGCCAAAAATATATGATCGAGCTTTTCGTATTGCAGCTGATAGTGAAGAAAAATACCATGAGTATAAATGTCAGTTTGAATCTTTTATCTTCCTTTCTAACTCGAAAGCATTAGTCATTTATTGCTAGTCGTCAAATAGTGAAAAGATTTAATTCCTGACAATATTAATAGACCAACGATGATTTACAGTCTGTAGATGACACTACAGAACAGCCAGATGTCTCGCATAGTTGTCAATTAGTTATTTATGTACTTCCGTGTAGCAACTAGTGTTCTTTATATTACAGTACTGGAATATGGGACAATTATTAAAATTGGAATATATATTCAGTAATAACGTTTTGAATAACGCAGTAATCAACATATCCCATCGTTTCTCTATATCAATTTTCTCCACTGTTATTTGTAATTAGTCACTGGGAAATTTCCCAATCTGCATACAATTCTCGTTGTCAAGTAGATTTATATATACTATCGATATTAGGATGAGCAATTTTTTTCTGATAGGAACAAGCGAAAGAAGCAGCTCAGTGAAATCATTTCAACACATCAAAAGTAAATCATTGTTTAAAGTGCTATCAATGCTATCGAGAAGAAAAGACACTGATTTGTCAAAATGTATCGATGAAAAAAAACGAAGTTCTGCTTGGAAAAATGAAGTCTATCGTCGTGTAGTTAATGTTTGTAAACAGTTGAAGAAGCAAGGTGTTCATTCATCCATTCTTATCAGTGCGGCTGGTTTCACATACACCGGCATTGATGATACTGCTCGTTGTCTTACATGTGGTCTAGAGGTATCCGAATGGGAAGCATACATGAATCCATTTACTGTTCATATCCAACAAAGTCCGAACTGTTCATTCGTTCAATCGATTGTATCAAAAAATCGAATGAACTTTTCTTCTTCCGATGGTTCAATAATAGAGGACCAAAACTTTGAATTATCACATAATCATGAAAATTTATCAAAACATAAAGAAATTGATCGAAAGATCGACTATTGTCTGATAGAAGTAGAGATGATAAAAGAAGTTCGTTGTCGAACATTTTCACATTGGCCTTATCAGAATGTACTATCTCGAACACAAATGATTTCGTCTGGATTTTTTTATTGTAATGTTGGTGATCGTGTCATTTGTTTGTATTGTAATTTAGTTTGCCAACAATGGACACCACATACTGATAATCCAGAAGAAGTCCATCAAACTCTTTCACCTCTATGTCCATATGTTTTATTTCTTTTAAAAACTCGTCAGACATCAAGTGCATCAATTCTTAATGAAAGCTCGAATAATCAAGCAGTCATATGTAATCTATTGCGATTTAATGAAATAGTTCAAGCATCAGCATTTCATAGGGCCTATGTTGAAATTTCGAGGCGTCAAGCATCATTTAATTCTTGGCCTCAAGAAGAATTACCTTCTGTAGATGATCTTGTCCGAGCAGGATTTTTTTATACTGGCTCAAAGACAATTGTTATCTGTTTTTATTGTAATGGATCACTTCAAAACTGGGGTCCAAAAGATAATCCATTGATTGAACATGTACGTTGGTTTCCACTTTGTGCCTATGCTAAACAATTATGTGATGATGAACTTTATCGAAAAGTTCAAGAATCAAAACGAATTCATCAAGGTTTATTTGTTTTTCTATTCAAGAAATGATGCAAGTTAAAATAAAAATGTATTGATGTATTTTGTAGAACGCACTGGAACAAATCAAATAGGGAGAAATGGAGATTTTTCAAACGATCATCCAACAAACAATTCTCAACTAGTAATTTCTGATGAGAACACATTGTCACGATTGGTTACTGCTCGACTCGATTTGCCTATTTCACAAAATCTACTCAATCGAAATTTCAAATTATCAGTTATCAAACGTTGTTGGGAGGATCAGCTAAGATTAAAACGTTCGTAAATTCAATTAAATTTACATTCTTCTATTTTTTTTTGTTTAGAAAATGATTTTGCTACTGATTCTGATTTATTAATTGCTTGTATTATTCTTCAAAAACAAATTGATCATATCAATGGTCGTAAAGAAAACATTATTGTACCGAGTATCAAGATGAAAATGATTCGTAAGAAAGAACAATCTGGTATGTTGTCAGTTATTTGTATGATCATATAATTACTCATTTGCAAATAAATAGGTTCATCATTGTCCATGCTATCATTGAACGAATCATTTTCATCAAACTCATCGAATATCAATAATATAATTGAATCAAAATCAACAATTGCAACGACCGACAATCAATCAAAAACAGAAACAAAAACTAGTTCGACCACGGGTATAGCGTCATCGAATTTGTGTATACTTTGTTTGACAGAGGATAAACGTCTTGCATGTATGCCATGTGGACATTTGGCAACTTGTGTTCCATGTGGTCATTCACTTCGAACATGTCCAGTTTGTCGAAGAGAAATAGAGGCTTTTGTACGCATCTACATTTGAAGTTGACATTCGATAGAATGTCACAAAAAACTGTTCTGTATTTCACATCAATTAATCTAGAATTCTCTTTATTTATATATCAGTTTTTGCTTGAATGAAATCAATAATTTATTCAAGAAAAAATTTGAACGAATTTGAGCTCTGTTCATTTTGAATCTTTGATGCCACAATCGAAAGTACTTGTTTGTGTTGTTTCTCATCATGTGCTTCAAATCAAGTTTCATGGTAGATGCTACGCTTGACACTAGACTGTTGCATCTTCGTTCCTTTTCAACGTCCACTATGCGATTGTTCAAGCTCAATTCTATTTTGGGCGCATTTCAAATTCCGAAAATAATTCATTTTGTCCGGCCGATAAATAATTCGTCGCTTTGAATGTGAGTGTGTGGGTGTCGCTAATAAGAACGGCCACATACACACCGACACCCAAAGCCACACCCATCCACATACACAGCCACGTCCACACCCAAAGCAACGTTTACCGTAAGCAATAACTTCAAACACATTGTGATGATGAAAAGGACGTATGGACAGGATACTCGGAGTTTCTTTTTGTTCAAAATTATTCTGATTTTTATTTATCTTAAACGTGTCAGCGGGTCATTCGGCTTGTTTCCTACGGCTTAGTTTTGCGCCTCTGTGTGATGCTCTCCTTGATTCGAATTGTTTTTTCTCGATTGAACAATCAGCAAGTCATCGAAATGTTTGATGCAATCGAAAATATTTCATCAATAGGCATAAATCATCTTTTTTGTTTGGCTTTTTACTAGCACAAAATGATCCAGTGTGAGCAATCCATATATATAGTTCGATATACTTTTCCGTGTTCTATCTGAGAATTATCTCCAAATTGAGAGAAAAAAATGTACCAAAACCTTGAGATGGCGAAATATTCTTCGAAAATGTGGAAAAAACTGCCAAAGAATATCTTCCATGAATTTACGTTTTTGCCCACAGGATTTTCGATTTTTTCCGGTTGAACACCTTTCAGAGATTTAATACAAGTTTTGCTGACCATGTGGCTTCGGTTTATTTTGATATGATATTTTTAGCCCATTGGTACCATTAGAACTGCGCAAAAAAAAGAATTATTTCTACTCGTATTTGTCTAAAATCACATGTACTAGACATAATTTTTCATGTTGATCAAAAATATTGTGTTAAAAATTGAAAAAAAACTAAACTATAATGATGAAAAATGTATATTACTCTGATACATAGATTGGATGGGTAATCATCAACATACCATTCTTTTCTTTCAAATGAAAACATTTGAAAAATATGAAATTTATTTTCGACACACTACTGAAAATGCTAACACATCTTCAGTATTTCATCATTGTAATGTCTTTTCACCAGAGCTCGTCGAATTGATCCCAGATTCGATCGGGTCCTGGTCTGAAAATTTTCTGTTAATGGGATTCGAAAACATTGAGTCTCGACGGGCTCTATTGTTCACACCAAACCATTTTGTTGGAGTAAAAAGCTATACAAAAAGATGAATCATGCCTGTTGCTGAAATATGTTCAATAGTATGAACCATATCGGAGGTTTGTTGATTGCTTTTAGGTTTGAACCGATTTAGAACGAGTAGAGCAGTCAATCGAAAAAAATTTTCACGAATCGAGGAGAGTACCAAACAGTAGCTAAACGCTTCATTTTGAAATGACGGAAAAACTAAGTGTAAAATTTTACAATCCATATGCGATGCTGTTTTAACATATGCGATGATGTTTTAATAATCGGAATTTTATTAGATTCAAATTTTGCTCTTGTCTATATATATAAAGAAGAAAGTTTGTTTGTCTGTTCTTCATGCATTTGGACACGTTACTAGCAAATGCAACCAAACTTTTCAGGGACTATCCTCTCATTCTGGAAGAGGTCACCGACTACTTTTTGTCGAAAAAACACCGGTCCTCTGCCTGCAACAAGCCCACATATGTATCTGACCAATGAGATTGCAACATTCGGTAGTATCGGAGAACTACCAAGCAGCACGTTGTGGACAAGTACAAGGCAGGTATCTACAGGTTTTCGAGGATGCTGAGCTTGGATCTGGAGTCCATTCACTTCGAAATCTGATTGGTTGATCGATTACCAATAGGAATTCAGCTGCAAAGAAAACAGACAAAAACATCTACAGTTTCGGGAAAACAATGAGATAGGAGTTTTTAGAGACGGTAAGTTCGAATCTGGGGTCCATTCACCTCGAAATCTTATTGGTTGGCCGGAAACCAATAGGAATTCAGCTGCTAAGAGACCAGCTAATCAAAATTGCGTTTTTGCAAAAAAAGAGTCAGGTAGAGGTTTTTAGAGGCGGTTAGTACGAATCTGGGATCCATTCGCCTCGAAATCTTATTGGTTGACCCAAAACCAATAGGAATAGAGTTTGTCGGAAAACGAATATCACTGGATAATCGAAGGTAGGACATTAGGAATCTGAAGTCTATTAAGCTCGATATCATTCTTTTAATCAAGTTTTCAATGAAAATGTTTCAAAACGATGACATCTTTTACAAAGAAGCTTTTTTAACTCCAAACTAATGTAGAAATGATTCAAAGCTTCCATCAAAAGGATTTATCAGAATGATTTTCCAAGCGATTTAGAAGGTGTTAGCCGGTGCTGATAACAGAGATCGCTTTGTTTGAAACACGGTGACTATATACAGGCATGAACTTGGAAAAAAAACAAGAATACATTGAAAAGGAAAATGAACAATAGGGGAAAATACCGAAACAATCTCAATAAAATACAGGAGTTGGCAAATTCCTGAATGATAGTAGGACATGGATATCGTGCATGTTATCTCCGTGTTATGGTACATATTAAAAATGTACCATAAGAAGAAAGAATGTACATATGAATGCTTCTCTTGACTCATAGTGATGACGTATTAGTTATATGCATATATGTCTTCTTTCTATTCTTTCCTTTTTGTCTAAGGTATTTTCGTAGTTTCTTTGGTTTTTTCTATTATTAGTATTTCGAGACTATTCATGGAAAGTTTCCATTTACGAATCTTGGATATAAATAGCTGATGTGTTTCTGTATGTTTATGTAATTTGTTAATCAACGAATAAAATGATTCGATATTCAAGAACGAGAACGAGTGATAATATTATGTAAAATAGGAGAATAGAAGAAAAAAAATGCAGGGAGAGGGCACCAATACTATAACACAATGTCATTTACCTTTGAATTCTGTTTAGTCTATTTTAAGTTAAAGAAGCCCTCAAAACAAAATAAAAATAGGTTGGAAAGGGATCCCAGCGCATTCTATAACACTCAAGATCAGTTACTCATACAAAATTAGAAGGCTACCATTATCCGATATGTCAAATATGAAATATTTAATTTACCAGGCAACGTCGGGTACTTCTGTTAGTTTTCTATATTTTCAAGTGTTGACTGTAACTACTGGTCGATTATGATATGCTTCCAATGTCTTTTTTCTTATTTGTTTTCTTGGAACTAATTTGACTTGGTATTTTTCCTGTTGACTTTTTAATTCCTTTTTTCCATGTTCATAGTTTCTTTGTGCTTTTATTACTTTTTGTTTTTTTTTCGAACATAGTTTTCTTTTCCTTATCTGACAACGACATAACATTTCTCAGAATCATTGAACTCGTGAGTTTTTTTTTTATTTAAGAAAGAAAAATAGATATACTAATATTAATACAGTAGTCAACAAAAAATAAACATTTTACAATGTTAAATTTCGATGAGCTACAACAAATGTAACATGTTTATTATCTTGACATATACGTCGAATTAATTCAATACCCTTTAAATGTGTTACCCATTGTAAATTAGCACTAGTATAATTAGTTTTAATCTCTAAAAGACGATCACCAATACGAAATTGATTATTCTTTGTAAGTGTTGCTAATAAACCATTTGGATCAATATGAGAAATGAATAAACCAGAATCTTCAGTATTTCTATCTAATCCACCAGTTATAGTAATACCAAGTCGTTGATTTAATGCATCTGATGGCATGATTATATCAATATGTTCAATATCTATAGGATTTAAACGTCGAATATGAAGTGAAATAGATTGACCTTGAGCTAAAGAAAATGCTTGAACAGCTTCATCATGAGTTACATTACTTAAAGTGATATCATTAATCGAAAGAATACGATCAAAAAGACGAAGATTAGTTCGTCCATTATCGAATGATAATTTCGAACAATAATCAATATATGTTATAACAATTGATGGACCATGTTCAGTATCAATACCACCACTAATCGTAAAACCATATCTATTTAAATTATTATTTAAAGGTTTAACTTCGATAAATTCATCCTTCCAATCATTTTCAATAGATTGATCTTGTTGTCTTTCAATTGATGAATAAGGTGGTGGTAATTCTTTAACATGTAACAGTTGTGTACCATCCGAAAATTCATTACGATTGAGTATATGAAGATAAGTACCTATATGCTGTGTCATATCGTTAAATTGATGCATATATTTTAGCAAAAGAACAAAAAGAATGAATTAGAGTAAAAGATAAGACAATTTTATGTTAATAAATATTTGTTAAAGCTTATCAAATTTATCCAACCGATAGTGAATCATTTGAATGGCGCAGTCATCGGCTAATAACAACATTTCAACAATAAAGCATGTCTTTTTTTTCTTCTTTCGTTCTTTTGTCCTTCTTTCATTCAAATCCTATTTTATATTTCGATACTATTAGAAATAAGTTTGTATCAACTCTGATCTATTTTGCAAGAATAAAATAATCCTAATATTTAATACAATTGAATTAATTATGAGACTTCATAAGATCAAAATCTAATATGAATACTAAAACATTCAATCGATTATGTCTTTTTCTTTTAAAATACGAAAATAATATTTGTTACTTCAAATGAATATTTAAATATTCATTCAAATACGACAAAGAAGAATTTTCTTCTTATCAAAATTTTATTAGATAAAAAGACAAACACTAATTGAATTTAACTTTAATTTTATGTTTGA